GATGGGGTTTCACCATGTTGACCAGGATGGTCTCGATCTCTTGACCTTGTGATCCACCCGCCTCGGCCTCCCAAAGTGCTGGGATTACAGGCTTGAGCCACCGTGCCCGGCCCACAAGCATTTCTTATAAGTCTCTACTCTTCTTTCAGTTAGACTACTTCATAATATAATTTATGAAGTAAATCCATAGAAATTGAACAAAATAAAAAAGGAGTTTATTGAGTGCAAGGAAGCTCCAGAGAGGTAAAGACAGATGGAGAAATGATAATACTAAGCATGTTAATGACCTTCACAGTAACAGATTTTCTGGACGAGTATGAGCTGAAGACAGAATGAAGTACATAGAATATAAAAGAGAGATGAAGGTGTGGGGAATCCAAGGGATAAATGTGGGGTGGGGTGGGGTGGGCCAGACTGGGAGGTGCAGTTGGGTTCTGAACATTCTGCTTTAGATCCAGCACTTAGAGAAAGAGAAGTCACCTTTATTTGGCTTCTTCCACAATCTTTAGAGGAATCTTCTGAAACATAACAAAAAATATATATGAATGGCCAATAGTCTTCAGGGAAAAATGCTAATAAAACCATAGTGATAAACCACTACACATCTATTAGAATGACTAAAATTAAAACTATTAATAACTATATGTTCTCAAGGATGCAAAACAATCTGTACTCTCACCTATTGTCTATAGGGATGTAAAGCAACTACTCTAAAAATCAGTTTTGTATTATCTAATAAACTTAAACAAACTAGTACTATATGGCTAGCATTTATTTTCCTAGGTATTTACTCAGGAGAAATGAGGAGTATGTCCAAGAATCTCTGTACAAGAATGTCCATAGTTCCTTTATTTTTAATAGTAAAAAAATCAGTAATGCCCGCCAATGCACAAAAAAATGTGATTCAATCATACAATGGAGTACTATCAGCAATAAAAATGAATTAACTACTGATACATGCAACAACATGGATGGATCACATAGGTATTACACAAAGCACAAAAAGTCAGACACAAGGGAGGCCATATTAGGTGAATGTATTTGTATGAAGTTTTAAAACAGGAAGAACTATGTTATCATGGTAATCATCAGACCAATGGCTACTGGGGAGAGGGTGAAAAAGGGAATTTGCTGTATCTTGACAGTGGCATTAATGATATGGCTGTATTTGTCAGAATCCACTGATTAATTTGATAAAGATCAGATCATTTCAGCATATGTAAATTTTGTAAGTTTAACATGCTTATAATACATTTTTAATATTAGTAATAAAAAAGTAGTTAAAAATAGTAGCAACCAAATTTTACAATGCATCAAAACAATACATCATGATCAAGTGAGTTTTATACCAGGCATGCAAGGATGGTTTGACATACATAAATCAAGAAATGTGATATACCCCATCAACAGAATTAAGAACAGAAACCATATGATCATCTCAATAGATGCAGAGAAAGCATTTGGTAAAACTCAACATCACTTCTTATTAAAAACTCTCAACAAACTAGGTCTGGAAGAAACATACTTCAACATAATAAAGGCCCTATATGACAAACCCACAACTAATTTTATACTGAATAGGGACAAGCTGATAGCCTCTCCTCTAAGATCTGGAAGAAGGCAAATATTCCCACTTTTACCATTTTTATTCTACATGGTACTAGAAGTCCTAGCCAGAGCAATCAGGCAAGAAGAGGAAATAAAGGACATCTAAATAGAAAAGGAGGAAGCCACATTAGCCTTATTCACATATAACATGATCCTTTACTTAGAAAAACCTAAAGATTTCACCAAATAAATGGTTAGAACTAAATAAATTCAGTAAACTTGCAGGATACAAAATCAACATGCAAACTCCCGTAGCATTTATATACACCAACAGTGTCCAATCTGAAAAAGAAATCAAGAAAGCAGTATCATTTGCAATAACCACAAAGAAGAAAAAAAAATCTAAGAATCAATTTAACCAAAGAAGTAAAATGAAAACTATAAAACACTGATGAAAGAAACTGAAGAACACACACAAAAAATTGAAAGAGCTGGGTGCATTGGCTCTCACATGTAATCCTAGCACTTTGGGAGGCTGAGGTGAGAAAACTGCTTGGGCCCAGGAATTCAAGATCAGCCTGGGAGACATACTGATACCCTGTTTCTAAGGAAAAAAAATTAAAACATATTTCATGCACATGAATTGGAAGGATTAATATTGTTAAAATGTTTATACTACTCAAAGCAATTTATAGGTTTAAAGTAATCCCTATTAAACTACCAATAATGTTCTTCACAGAAGTAGGAAAAAAAATTATAAAATGTATCTGGACTATAAAATACACCAAATAGCCAAAGCAATCATAAGCAGAAATGAATTTTTGTATTTTTATAATTTTGTAGAGATGGCATTCTGCCATCTTGGCCAGGCTGGTCTTGAACTCTTGACCTCATGATCCACCTGCCTCAGCCTCCCAAAGTGCTGAGACTACAGGTGTGAGCCACCGCGCCTGGCCCTGAAGATACTTCTAATCACCTTCACTCCAGGAGCCAGATAATGTCTCTCTGAAAGACAGTAGAGTAACATTCTACATGAGCAAATCAAAGCAATCTCCTCCAAATGATTTTGGACTTATGAAGCGTGAAATGTGTGTTCTTACTAAAATGGAGTTAATCCTAGGTAGATAATATTTTTTTTCCATGAACTGGATTCTATGTAGCTCACCAGCTGTTCCACCACCAATTTTTCCCTTTAATAAAAGAGAGATTCCACCACAAACCAGCATTTCTCAGGTGGAGGTCTGTTGCTGACATCAACTTCAACAGGACAAATTTCTTTTTTTTTTTTTTTTTTTTTTTTT